AACACCCTTTAAAATGTATGATTGGTTGTACACCTCAAACTAGTTGACATGTTCTAGATTGGTGTGGTACAACTGTCTGTAACATGTACATTTAATTGGGTTGTAGCGTGATGAGGAGGGTTCTAGAAGCAGAGGGGGGAGATCATCTCAAAATCAATCATCTAGCACTGCCAATAATGAGAGAGCCTTACCTACACAACCAAGAGTGCCAGCTGCTGCCAGTTTACCAGTGTTGGAGATGAATGAAACCGAGACAGCAAGGACTTCCACAGAGGCAGCTCCTAGATCAAGAGCCCCTAAGGTATAAAAATTAATTCTACATATGGATGTAGCATGGTTATCATAAACTCTCTTCTGTGTGAACTTTATTTAAAGGTGTAGCATACTGTTACAGAAGGAATACAGAGTTTTCACTTATTTTGTACATAACAAGTAAGATAAATTTTTGAAGTGGTTGAGCAATCCTTTTCCCTGTTTTATTTACAAGATTTTTCATCTCAGCAATTTTATTAACAGACACCAAGGGCAGTAAATTTAGTGGTGAACACGGGGTATAGCTTGTTTGATGTTTGTGTGCTAATTTTAAAATTCAAGGGTTTTCAACCTTTATGTCATTGGTATCTCTTTGTCTACAATTGGTACAGTTTAACCAACTTTTCCCTTATTTCATATATTCGTTGTGTTTGATTTAATATCATCTTACGGGTTTATGTCGAACTAATTTGATGACCTGCTCCCAGTTGGCTTGTTACCTCAATTGGTAGAGCGCTGCACTAGTATCGCAGAGGTCAGTGGTTCGAATCCTGTACAGGCCTGAATTTTTTCAGGTCTGATTTTCACTACTGCTTAAATAGTGCTCTTTACTGCGAGGATCATGCACAAATACGTTTCTATAACCACAGTTCAGATATATGGATTTCACATATTGGTTGTGTTTTCCCTTATTGTTTATTCATTTTCTCTTTGCTTACCTGCTGTCACCTGGAACTTAAAATGTACAGGAAACTGACAAAGAGACCTTTGGTTAATTTAGCTTCCAAGCTTACAATTTAACATTACAATTTTAATACAAATAAATTATTTTAATGGAATGAAAATAATTTTATTTTAAAATTAGACAGTTTGTTTCTGTCATTAATTTTACTGTAATTTCCAGCTGTTTACCCGCAAAGCCGATTACCCGCACTGGCTGATTATTGCATTTGGCAAAAAAAAAAAAAAGTAAACAGATAACCTGCACTGGTGGATAACCTTGCACCTTAAAAGCAAAGAAAATTTGCACAAAAAGGCTCTAGAATTCACAATGCTTCATACTTGACAGATTGCGAATTCGTGGCCACATTTTGTGCAAGAAATCGTTCAGCACCATATTGATTTGTTGATTTCTCAAAAAAATCAATATCTTTGGTTCTACTGGGCCTAACAAGTTCCTTAGAATGGGAAAATTCTCTTCAGCTCAAGCTGATGTTAACTGGAAATTTGTTACTGATGTACTGAATACCATTGGATTATTAATTTTTTGTCACATCAAGGATTTGTTTACATGCGTGCTGATAAAAATTTGTTCGTCGTGCAACTAAATGTGTGTGAAATAAACTCGAGGCGGCATCATGTTTTCATGCTGTTTTGTGGCACTCTTAATACAATAAAATTCATTTGTGAGGTGGAAATACAAGTAAGTGAGAATTTTTTTTCAATTCAACTACCAGTAGATTTCAAAATTGTCACATAACCTGCACCTCCCTATTACCCGCAGGGGTGCGTGTATAGGGCAAAATCAACAGATTACCTGCGGGTAAACAGCGGGAAATTATGGTAACTGATTGTTTTTGTTAATATTGTTCAAATAATATTTTCCAGTGGCATTCAGTGACTTTCTGTGTGTTCATTTAAGCTGTTTTTTATCATTTGCTGCTCAAGGTCAACACACCTTTGATCATTGCGAGACTAAATCAAGTGCGGGTAAGAAATTGAAGAAAATATAAAGGAAGAAACAAAAATATTCCAGTAAATTCTGGTAACTTACTTACCTACTTATTTACTGTAGAATCCTTATATTTTACACCTCAATGAACAAGGAAGGTTGTTTGAATTATTGAATGGTTCAACAAATCTGGAGTGGGAGGGGGAAGGGTGTGAAAGAGTTTGCTTGGGAGGGGAGGGTAGAAGCCAGTTTTAGTTCTAATTGTCAGGACTTTGGAGAATGTGAGGGTTCAAGAGCAAGGGATTTCTTTAATTGTATTTTACTCAGCAGCAGCAATTGTTTAGTAATGCATGTTACATTGCCTTCAAGGGCACAAGCATACTGTAATTGATAATAGTGGCCAGTTGCATGTGCTGATTAATTGTCCTTTCTCTTCTTCTTCCAGGGCTTTCTGAAACAGGCAACTGAAATGTTTGTCACTTTACAAAGTACAGACAGTGATAAGAGGGTAAGTTAATATGCTGTATTTGAATATATTCTGAAATCGGAGAAATTTCTCTGCTGTTTTCTTGCTTATGCTTTTTAGTAAAAAAAAATCAAATTCAATTTGTCATCATAGTGGCAATAGTTAGTTATCTGATGCATGGGAGTGTGTTCACAACAGAAATTGTGTTATAACTTTAGATGTTAGATTTTTTATTTGCTTCTGTTGCAGCTTTGTAATCATTGCTAATTTATGTAAAATAAGGCTTTTACAATTAATTTGAATGTTCTCCCACAGTCCAGTGAACTGAATGCCCAGGCAGTGAAGATTGCAAGGCTAATCAAACAGCTCAAGCAGCAAGAGACAGCTTATGTAGAACTTCTTGAGCGATCAGTGGTAAGCTTTACTCAATAATAGCACAGTAACACCAGCACAGTATAGCAAAGGAGTGCTGAGAGTGAAATCAACAAAATTTGTACTTTGCGTGTAAACTATGTTGTTTCAGTATCATTGCGCCAAGGCAAAGTGATGATTTATGTGGTCACAGTTTCTATTAACAATCACATGGATACAAAGTTTTTCTTTGTTCTTGGAAGGCATAGAGGGCTATCAAAATTTTTCATTGGGAGTGAGGTGTTGCTTTGTCTGTCAAGAGTCAAGGCCAAGAGTTTTTACACATCAGGAAATTTTGCAAGATCATATTTTGAAGGATGAATAAAAACTGTTCTACTGCGAAACCATTTTTTGGCAATTATAGGCTGGGCTAGTTTGTAATATATTGTGAAATTTGTTGTCACAATGGTATCTTTGGGAAAGGTTGAATAGGACATCTAAATTTCTTGTAGTTTTTTTACAAGGCTAGCTTGAAGTTTTAACATCAGAAATGGATGTTAATTTGTTACTTTCAACATTTCTTGTGGAATAAAAATGATTTTCAGCATTCTTTTAACAATCAGTCTTTTTTTGTTCTTTTAACTTACCAGGCTGTTGAACACGATTCAACTCTAGAAAACACACCATCTTTGAGTCTACAGTCATTAACAGAGGAGGAAAAGGTATATAAAATAAATTATTGTGATGAGTAGCCCAATCATGACTCCATTTTGCATTATGAATAATATTATAGGCCAAAACATGCTTTAAATGCTAAAATGCTCTAATTATTGTTTTTCTATGTCTACTTTTGCCCTTATTGTTTGTTTCAAGCAAATTCAGGAAAACAGTACATTTACACACATGTATGTGATATGAAAAGCAGTTTTTTTTTTTTGTCCACCCATAATCCTTTGTGGGCATGGCCAGTTTCAGATTCTGGCCTTTTATCTAAAATAAAGTATTATTAAAAGCAAAAGCAATTACAAATTTACATATTTAGGGCAAAAACATGTTTGTTTTGATAATTAGGGCTGCTATGTTCTGATTATGAGCAAATGTTTCTTTGCTCCTGGGCCGCTTTCTTGCGTGAAACCGTAGATTTTTTTCATTTTGTCTCCTTGATCATTGACCGGCTGACCTTTACATTCACTGTAACACATGTTTTGGTCACACTTGATTCTATCCCTTAAGAATGCCTTGAGACCCCTCCCCGCTTGTGTCACAAGAATGAAGCAAAACATTTCAACGGTGGGAGAGTTATATCAGATCTTCAACAGGAGATCTTCTAAAGAGGCGTGCTTGTGGAGGCTTTGTTATGCTCAGTGAGCACATCATTGTGGCGCAGAATGTTTCAGCATCGTTCAAAGCTAAAAATCTCTAGCTTGTTTTGATAAAAATGGCTTAAAATGCTCACAGTTGTTGGTTATTACAAGCCCAAGAGTATGTTGCTCGATCAAAGTGCAATACAGTCATGCTTTAGAAAGAACAAAATGTTGGAAGGAAGTGGTGAGTCCTTTGCTAATTTGGACGTTACCAGTGCAGTGCAAAAACTGTTTCAGTTTTTTTCAATTTGTTCTAGTTCGGTCCTCACCTTGTATTTTGACTTTAAACTCTGGCACATAGTCATCACAGACAGCCCATTCATCTGAAATGACTGTTTTATTTTCGATTTGGAGACATTTGCTAAGCCGTATTGAGCTACCGTATTTTAGAAACTGCCTCTCCAAAAATGTGAAGCGTTACGAGGAAGGGTTGGTGTAAACACGTGGGTTTTCAAGAACTTCTAATAAAGAAAACTATCCGAGAGCTGTTGTGTGTATTTGCCTTTGTTATTCTGATTTGTAACCAGAATTTCTTAAGATTTGAGCGTTTGTATGTGGGAAAATGATTCAAAATACACTTGTGCAGCCATTGTTTCTGTTACGCATTACATGAACATTTAGTCATATTTTTTGGAAACAAATCTTTTTCTGGGTATATTTTAAAAGGGCTACAACTTTTATTATTTGTACATCAAGAAAACCTATTTGCAAGATATGAGAAAAAGTTTTAGGGTGAAATAGCCATTAGAAGCTGAGGTATTGGGATTAATAAGAAAGTACCCCTAGAATGTAGTCATGACTGTGCTACTCATCTGTTATAGAGTGGTAATAATTATCTGTATATTCATGGTTGTACATTAGATAACTTTTATTTACATCTAAGACTTCTACTCAGACATCATTTAAGATGATGCTTTCTTTTAAGGGAACGGTGGACAAAACATACATTTTGCACAAGGTACGATACCTGCTGTGTGATCAGCATTCATTTCACACTTTGCTAATTCCTCAGATAAGTTAAGAAAGAAAGGAAAGACATTAAAAACTGAGGAAATACAGATTTCAAATCATTTTGACACAGCTTCATGTACACACCTGTACGTGTTTCTTTTATTTAATATAGAGTGAGTCAGCATCTCTAAGAGATGAAGAGCTTCAAGGACTACGTCAGCAACATGCTTTGTTAAAGAAGATGTTGGAGCAGCAACAGCAGGTAAGAGACAAAAAATACTCCATGATGTAGTAATCATGGTATATAGACTTCACTGCTTTTACCAAACTTTGGTTATTTTTAATACAGCTGAAGGAGCTACAAACCAGACAGGCTACTCTGTTGACCTTACAACGGGATGCAGAAATGCGTTTGGCTGAGGCAGAGGAAGAGGTATGTTGAACCCACAAACTAAATTACTAACCCTTCAACAACAATTATGTTAGAGCTTATTTTTTCTTTATTGCATATCTTACTGTTTTTGTATGCTTATTAATCTGTGAATTGAGAAACAGTGAGCCATTTTACATGGCATGCTATGGCTTATTTGAAATATTGTGTCAGGAGCTGAGGTACTTTCCTAGGTAGCAACTTGAAGTATCCTCTCAGCAACTAGCAGGTGTCCAATGGTGTCCAGGTGGCAAATGAACCATCGCCTTACTTGAGGCGTGGAGGCGCAGTGGCCTCATGGTTCGTGCGCTTGACTCCGGATCGAGTGGTCCGGGTTCGAGCCCCGGCCGGAACATTGTGTTGTGTTCTTAGGCAAGACACTTTACTCTCACATTGCCCCTCTTCACCCAGGTGTATAAATGGGTACCGGCAATTTAATGCTGGGGGTAACCCTGCGATGGACTAGCATCCCATCCATGGGGGAATAGAAATACTCCTAGTCGCTTTATGCTACAAAAACTGGAGTTAAGCACCGGCCTAATGGGCCACTAGGCTCGTAAACAGACTTTACTTACTTGAGACACCAGTCAGTTTGAACAAATGTACACATATTTGTTTTTCCTTGAATGGACTTGCACATTACTGTACTACTTAGCCCTTCTCATCTCAGAAAATTCTGTACATCAATTCAGCATGTTTAATTAATTTTACCTGGATAACATAAGTTTCTCTTTTCCAACCTAAGGGCCAAGCAGACCCTGATGAACCAGGTGCAACTGGAGGTGAAGTTGCTGAACCAAGCAGAAGCAGAGGTGCATCAGGAACTTCCCAAACATCAGCACAACTGGATCTTGTTCCTGAGGTACACTATTGTAGAACATGACTAGTATGGTATGGTTCATTTCTTACTTCGGGTATGAGGGCTTATAGCCCTGACTTTCTTGAATGTAATATGTGTACATGTACTCTTCTATGGTATGGAAATGCCATTTTATCATATTGAACAAAATTGTGGATGTACTGTACATGTCTGTATTATTTTATTGTTTAGAGGCCAAGCGCTAGTGTCTTGGATGACAGACGGTTTACACCTCAAGAATTAGAGCTCATCAACCTTCTCAGAAAACACAAAGAAAAGGTTTGGTGACATGTGAAATGATTGCTCTCTTTCTGTCTCATGAAAGCTTTCTTTATTGATTTGCTTTCGTCTAGATACTTGTGTACTTATTATAATTTTAAGCTATTATCATCAACCTGAAAATCAAAACTCAGGCACAAGATGAGGTTTCAAGACACTGTTTATTTGAAAGTGAGATAAATTGATCAATAACTAAAATTAACTTGTCATTCAATGGTACATTGTGGGATAGTGGAGGAATATGGCAAAGGTTAAAGTTCTTGCCATGATTACACATACCATGAGTATTAAGTTCGAAGGAGAATTTGATTTGATTTGATTTTCTTTTTGACTGGGAAATTTAACAATAACTAAGTTAAACAGCTGGTATTGCCTTAAAACAAGAAATAATGTTCAGCCCTCCACTTAAGAAAGTATTGTCATCTCTGTATGTACAGCAGGGACTGTAATGGGTCCTTACATACACCTTAGAGCAATCATTTTGGTGTGTACATATTTTAATTGAACCCTAAGGGTGACTAACATCTAATTTCTCTTTACAATATCACCCCTGAATCACAGAGTTGAGGTTGCAAGAATAAAGGAAATGATCACCTTGACTAAGTAATTGAGGAGATTTCAAAAAGAGGTCTAAAAAAGGCATTATGCAGCACCCCCACCTCACAAAAGGTTTGACATCAAATTTTGATTGGCTGATGCCTAGAGATCATGGCTTTATCAGTCATAGCCACAAAATAATTGTTGCAACACATTGATTTTTAAGCGGTGAGGGTGTATTTGGAAGTACCGGTATGTTCAGGAACAATTTTTTTTAGCAATATCTCCAGAACTGTTCAACCAGACATTTGAATTTTTTAGGGGGGAGTGCCAGGGGAGTACCTTTGACAGTTGTGTAATGTGGCATAAATGAAGTTGGTTAAACAGTTACCATGGCAATGATTGCAAGATAAACACGGTTTTTTAGTGAAATATAGTTAAAAATGCCATTTAATCATTTTGGGTCAGTTGTTGATATTAATAAATGGCAGATGTTGTTGGCTCAAATACAAATATATGACAAATAATGGTAACAAAGACCATTGAGAAATGCTCATTTTGTCAGGTGAGGTTCATAGGAATGTTCTATTAGCCCTCCAGTATCCAATTTCCCTTATTTAGCCCTTCAACTTCCAAGATCTGATTGTTATCAGTCTCCTTTCTGGCTGCTACACGTTTGCTTGTAAATAAGCTACGAGAATTGAATGTTAGATCAACCTAACAACTTCTACTTGATATGTTTGCTTGATAATCTATGGATATTTTAGGGAGAAGTTACCTGTCAATCACTTAGGGGAGTTGTAGTGTTGAGTTTCATACCCAACTTGTACCAGCCTTACATTGAGCCTATGAAAGCCTCACCAAATCAAGCAATTTCTTTGTATTGTAAGAAAGAGACAAATTTTTTGAGAGACATGTTTGGGCATGCTTATGCCATCTTCAATCAATTGGTATTTGTTGCCCTGTAAATGAGAGTACACATGTTTGCATGTAGAAGCTTTTCTAAAGCTCTTGTCCAAGCTGCTTTACAAGATGATGTTTTGGCAGATGGGATGTTCTCCATTTCATGTCAATGATACTGCATCCTTAACTATTTTTAAAGCATCTTGCAGGCACTAACTTCTCACGAGGATTAAGTACTTTTTTTACAATCTCTTACCAATTGCCACTTACAAACATTTTCAAGTTAGTCTTTTTTCACTAGATTTGAGATAAAGCTGTTCCAGTTTGGGGGAACTGGAGTAACTGAACTGAACTTGATATTTTCACTTCATGAGTTATGGATGACCCTCTACTGACGTGTTCAACAGATTTAAGTGGAGTTTTCCTTATGGCATGCCCTTTGTTGTCTTTCTTGGAGAGCCATCTGTGTGCAAGGAATGGAGGACAGTTCATACTTCAGAACTTTTCTAAGTGTACATCTCTAGATCTTGACACCGTAAGTATTCGAATAGGTAATCTTCACTGTGAAAAGTTCCTCATCAGCAGATTTAACCTTGGCCTTCTGACAAAATTGCAGTGTTTTGATGTTCATCTTTAGTAAAAGCTCCCAAAATCCAACTTCCTTTGCATTTGCATTTCTTTGCTCACCAATGACTTCATCTCTTCCATCCTGAAAATTTTCTGGCAAGACTATTCCTGCTGCGAGGTTGCCTAATAGCGTGTTGTATGTCTTGTATCAGCACTTAATGGATTCGACATTTGGATCGTCAAGGTGCAAATTAGTTTCTAGTTGTCATCTTTGTCCCTATTCATAATTATTGTACTTTTACCAGTTTCTTTGTGTGCTTTTTTCGTCGTGCTATAAATCCCTCACGTCTTTGGTAACCGTAATTATTGGAGTTTGTGTCCTGTGCATTAAGAAACCATCTTTCCATACTAATGGCTTATGCCAATTTTTTCTACCTTTAGACTTGGAGGCTTGGAGTTAGCATTTACGCTCAGTTCAACAGTCATTGACTCCCTGGTCAATGACTGTTGAACTTCTTGTTTGAACTTCTTTCAATTAAGAGGTCTTATCAGAGCTAACTGAATCCCTGATTAACCAAGCAACTTATTACGATTAGGAGCTCTCTTAAGAGCTCATTGACTTCTTGATCAACCAACAGACTTCTTGCGATCGTTGGCCCTTAATTATCAGAGCTCAATGACTTCTCGTTAACCGACTACCTTCTTGCGATCGGTAGCTCTCATTCGAGCTCAATGACTCCCTGATCAACCAACAATCTTCTTGCGATCAGCAGCTCTTATCAGAGCTCAATGACTCTCTGATCATCATCAAAGTTCTTGAGATCGGTAGCCCTTTAACTTCCCCGATTAGAGCTCTTTAACTCCTTGATCAACCAGAAAAATTTTTGCGATCAGTAGTTCTTATCCAAGCTTATACTGATCAACCCACAAACGCTTTGCGATGATTAGCTCCTATAGGAGCTCCATGACTCCCTGATCAATCATCATACTTAATGCAAAAGGTGGTTCTGATCAGAGCTCTTTCACTTCCCTGATCAACTAACAAACTTCTTGCAATCAGGTGCTCTCATCAGAGCTCGATGACCCGCTAATTAATCATCAAACTTCTTGCGATCGTTGGCTCTTATCAGAACTCTTTAACTTCCCCGATCAACCACGAAACCTATCGCGATCAGAAGCTCTTATCAGAGCTCATTGACTCCCTGATCAACCAACAAACTTCTTGCGATCGGTAGCTCTTATCAGAGCTCGTTGACTCCTGATTAAGCGACAACCTTCTTGCGATCAGGAGCTCTTATCAGAGCTCGTTGACTCTCTGATTAACCGACAACCTTCTTGCGATCAGGAGCTCTTATCAGAGCTGATTGACTCCCTGATCAACCAACAAGCTTCTTGCGATCAGGAGCTCTTATCAGAGCTCATTGACTTTCTGATAAACCGACAACCTTCTTGCGATCAGGAGCTCTTCTTAGAGCTCATTGACTCTCTGATCAATCTTCAAATTCCTTGCGATCGGTAGCTCTTATCTTATCAAAGCTCGTTGACTCCCGATTACCGACAACCTTCTTGCGATCAGGAGCTCTTATCAGAGCTCAATGACTCCCTAATCAATCATTAAACTTCTTGCGATTGGTAGCTCTTATCAGAGCTCTTTAAGATCCCTGATCAACCACGAAACCTATTGCGATCAGAAGCTCTTATCAGAGGTCATTGACTCCTGATTAACCGACAACCTTGCGATCAGGAGCTCTTATCAAAGTTCGTTGACTCCTGATTACCGACAATCTTCTTGCGATCAGGAGCTCTTATCCATGAGAGCTCGTTGACTCCTTATTACCGACAGCCTTCTTGCGATCAGGAGCTCTTATCCATGAGAGCTCGTTGACTCCTTATTACCGACAGCCTTCTTGCGATCAGGAGCTCTTATCAGAGCTCAAAGACTCCCTGATCAATCATTAAACTTCTTGCGATCGGTAGCTCTTGTCAGGGCTCCTTAACTCCCCAATCAATCTAGAAACGGATTGCGATGAGGAGCTCTTATCAGAGCTCATTGTCTCCCTAATCGAGTAACAAACTTCTTGCAATCGGAAGCTTTCCTCAGAGCTCATTAACTCCCATGATCAACCGAGAAACTAATTTCGATCAGGAGTTCTTATTTAAGTTCATTGACTCCGTGATCAACCAACAAACTGCTTGCTATCGGTAGCTATTATCCGAGCTGATTGACTCCTGATTAACCGACAACCTTATGGCGATCGGTAGCTCTTAACCGAGCTCATTGACTTCTGATCAACCAACAAACTTCTTGCGATCAGGAGCTCTCGTCATTGAGTCCTAGATCAATCATTAAACGTCTTGTGATCGGTAGCTCTTATTAGAGTTCTCTAACTTCCCCGATCAACCAATAAACTTAATGCGATCAGGCGCTCTTATCAGTGCTCATTGACTCCCTAATCAGCCAACAAACTTCTTCCGATCGGTAGCTCTAATCACAGCTCATTGACTCCCCCGATCAACCACCAAACTTCATCCGATCAGGATCTCTTATCAGGGCTCATCCACTCCCCAATCAACCATGAAATATATAGCGATCATTGACTCCCTTATCGACCGACAAACTTGTTGCGATCGGTAGCTCATATCAGAGCTCAGTGACTCCCTCGATCAACCAAGAAACCTCTGGCGATCAGGTTTTTTTATTAAAGCTCATTGACTCCTCAATCGACAACAAACTTTTTACAATCTGGAGCTATTATCAGAGCTCATTGCCTCCCCAATTGACCAACAAACTTCTGAGATTGGGAGCTCTTATTAGAGCTCGTTGACATCTTAGTTAACCAATAAACATTTTTACGATTAGGAACTCTTATCAGAGCTCCATGACTACCCAATCGACCGACAAACTTGTGGAAATCCGGAGCCCGTATCAGACCTCAATGACTTCCTTATCAACCAACAAACGTCTTGCGATCGGCAGCTCTTATCAGAGCTCAATGACTCCCCGATCAACCAAGAAACCTCCAATTGACCAAAACATTTATTAGATTGTGAGCTCTTAGCAGAGCTAATTGACAACCAAATCGACCAACAAACTTGTTGTGAATGGTAGCTCTTATCAGAACTCATTGACTCACCAGTTGACACACAAAGTAATGACGATGACTTGTTGACTGGGCGATTGGCACACATAAATTCTCTAATTGGTACAGGTCCATGATGTAAACTATAAGCCCGGTGTCCTTCATGCTCTGCTCTAATGAACTTTAGAAGAACCTGAAACAGGACTGTGTTAGTGTAGCTCTCCCCAAAACTTGAACTGTGTGCTGATGAACTCTTTTTCTCAAATCTGCTGAACTGCAGACGAAGGTCTTTCGATATATCATGTAGCAGAAGATATGTATCGTTCCCCTCTCCAGTGGTAGATACCTCCTAGTATGTGTGGATATCTTGTGGACTGCACTAGAATTTGCTTCTTCTATATGAGGTACAGGCACCGAACTCTTTCATCTTCAACCTCCGCAGAGATTTCGTCAAAAGCTTAGGTGCTCTAACTCCGCGGGTGAATGGCTTTCCTTCAAGTAGGGTGATTGTTGAGTAAAAGCCATAAGGACCGAGTCCAGTGAACATATCTTGTAGACCACTTTCTTGAAGTTTCTTGGCTATTGCAGCTGGAATGTTTGATGCAATATGAAACCCCCAAACAATTTATAACGTTCTCAAACCCGTCAGGGTACCTCCTCTTAATTTTAATGTCAGTGGTAAGGTCTATTTCAAGTGAGCAACATCTGCCATTTATTCTTTTCAGCATTTTAAACCTATATTTCACAAAATCACGTTTTTTCTGGTTTCCTTAGAAACCGTTGCCATCCCAACGGATAATCAACCAACCAAAATTTTCCCAAATCAGCTAACTGCTAAGGCTACACCACGCGTCCAATTTTTTGTCGTTGTTGTTGAGTAGTTTCAGATGTATTGCTGAAATGTGCCCAAACACTGAATATTGGTACTTGGTACTTCCAAAAGGACTTCACTACCACCACCACCACCCACTCACCCCCCCTCCCCCCTTCCATAGAAAGTCACTGACCCCACAATTTGTGACTACAATTAACAGAGTGATGTCTTCTAGGTGTCAGGCTATCATAATATTATTCTGATGGCAATCCTGTTGTGCAGTGGGGGTAGGTGCTACCAGTAAAGGAAAGTCTTGATTGTTAAACTAATTCTCCTTATGAGTACCATGGGAAATGTATAGAGAAAAGTATGGAGAAGAGGTCATCTGAACTTGGGGTAAACTTATATCTAGTAAAGGGTTAAGTTATATAAAGCAATGAGTTAACTTGCTATCTACATTCATGATTGATGTTTTGGTGCAGTGGAGGGCTGCAGATTCTGGGGATGAGAAGGAAACAGATGAAAGAGAGAACCATGGAACAAAGAGAACAAATCAGCCAACAGCGGAACAAGTATTTAAACGTTTTTGACATGTTTGTTTTCTTATTTACGGCAGTTATTATTGTTCTTGTTGTTTTAAACTGGGGACTAATTTTAATTGAATATTCATAGGCACCTCATCCGGAGACAAGTTCAGAAGTTGCAGATAGTGAGGTACAGTGTACATGTAAATTCGTTTCCCATCTTAAAGTGCCCCTGAGACGAAAATTGACCATTTTATTTTGGCCTAAATTGTTTACAAAATGTTGAATTGAGTCAAGTTAAGACCCTTTTTGCCATTAAAGCTTAAAACAAACCTTCGATGACTAATTTTTACCGCTTCAAAGTCGTCCAAAAATCGTCCGCCATTGCTGAAAACATGTTCCAGCCGAGCCCGCGAAAACGTCATCATGACGTTAAAGGCTGAACAAACTTATGCTTTGCTTTGTCACAACTCTCTTTGTTCGCTGCATAGAGAATCACACATATTACTTTTTTGAGAACTGTTTCGTTGTCAGTCGGGAAATGTCGACTTTTTGAGACGAT